CCCCTGATAATTTATAAATCATTATTTTTTCATGTCTTATACGGAATGGTCCAGTTTCTAAGCCTTAAGAGCATACCTTATTTCTATCCCATCTCAAGAGTAGATTTGATGCATTGACTTCAAAGGGTGGCCCCAGAAGACAAAGCGAAGCTTTATAAATAAACTTGTAAAGACAGGAGGCAGGAGGTAGAAAGGGATGAGTCTGCGTTGCGTTTATAACGTGAACAGCTGAAGGGAAAAACAAAACAAAATCCCTTGGGATATTCAAGGACTCTGAGCAAAATACTAAAGAAGGGTTCAAAGAAGACAGTTCCCACCGTATTTGAGACCAGAGTTTCCTGAACTTTTGTGGCCTACCACCCCTTTTCAGAAAAATAAATAGTTTGTGCTCTAGCCCACAGTCCAGGGGCAAGTGTAGGTATCTGGGTCATTCGAGCACCTTCCAGGGTGGGGGTGGGGCATTGTCACCCACTTGGGGATACACCGGTAGATCAGAGTCACTGTACTGGAACTAAATTGGTCAATGTTCAACCATCTCAGGAGTTAGCATGTTATCGGGAACTGTGATGGTATTGAAAGGAAAAGTCCAAGCTACAGTGCAGGATCCAGAAATGGACCCAGGATACCAATGGAGATGTTTCAGCAAACCAACGTGATGTTATAAATGTTCCCTCATCTATTCTAAGAAATGTTAAAGATGGCTAGCTGGCCAGCTGACTGGAAGAAGTCTGTGCCCATTCCAAAGGAGTTACCAGGATGTAGAAATCATTGAACATTGCCATGAATAGCTAGGAGAAGGATGAAGCATTCCACTCCTGTACATCTTGACACTCTTGGGAACCCAGAGGAGCAGTTCTGCTCTGCCCTGTAGGGGCACTGAGTCAGAATCAACTTGACAGTGAGTTTGTGTTTGGTGTGGTATCATTAATATCACATGCAAGTAAAATTTTGCTGAAATGATTTAAACAATGATTGAGCAGACATTGACAGCTGTCAGAAACTCAAGCTAGGTTCAGGAGGGGCGGGGGTAGACAAAGGATATAATTTGCTGATATCTGGTGGAACTTGACTGGAAGCAGAGAATACCAGAAAGACGTTTACCTGTGTTTTATTGACTATGGAAAGGCATTCAATTATGTGGATCATAACAAATTATGGGTAGTATTGAGAAGTGTGGGAATTCTAGAATACTTGGTTGTGTTTATACAGAACCTCCTTGTAGACCAAGAGGCAGATGTCTGGACGCACAGGGGCATACTGTGCGGTGTAACATCTGGAAGAGGGTGCGTCCTCTCACCATATTGTTCAGTGTGTATGCCGAGCAAATGCTTGGAGAAGCTGGACGGTACGAAGACACAACACGACATCAGGATTGAAGAAAGACACATTAGCGGCCGGGGACATGCAGATGACACAACCCTGCTCTCGCTGAAAGCCAGGAGAATTTGAAGCACTCACAGTACTGGATCTCAACATAGAGCAGGAATCCCCACAACTGGGACAACAACCAGCATGATAAATGGAGGACAGTTTGAAGTTGTCAAGGATTTCACTTTCTCTTGGATCCACTATCAACACTTCTGGAAACAGCAGGCAGGAAATACAGTCAAGTATTGCATTGGGCAAAGCCATGCAAAAGGCCTCTTTAAAGCATTAAAAAACAGAGGTTACTCTGAGAACGAAGATGCGCTTCTCACCCAAGCCATGTTTTTTTGTTTTAAAACAGTTTTATTAGCACTTTATCCACAGGTCATACAATTCAATAATTCACTCATATCAAGAATAGTTGTAAAATTATCACCACATTCACTTCTTGAATGTATTCTTTTTCCTCATTGTACTCATTGTTAATTCATGTAATCATACATAATTTTTTCTAATTGTGGTAAAAATATACTATGAAACATTCTCCAATTCAGCAACTTCTACCTGTATAATTCAATGCCATTGATTATACTCTTCATGCGGTACCACCATTATTGATATCCTTTTCCAAACTATTCCACCACCACTGACATAAACTCAATGCCCCGTAAGCAACAACTCTTTCCCTTCACCCGCCGTGGTATTTTGAATGGCCTCATCTGCGTGGGACAGCTGGGCAGTGAACACCAGAGAGACGAGTTGCTGCGTTTGGATGATGGTCCCGGCAAAGAGTACTGAATGTACTATGGACTTCCAAAGCACAAACACACCTGTCTTGGAGACAAGTACAACCAGGACACACAGGACATCGTGCTTGGTAGGGTCAGTGAAGAGATGGAGTTACACAGTGGCTGCGACAGTGAGCTCGGACATGGCCTTGATTGTGAGGATGGCACAGAGCCGGACAGTTAGTTAGTCGTTCATTCTCCTGTCCATACAGAGGGTCACTATGAACTGGACCCAACTTGAGGGCACCGTACAACATTCCTTGAGTATCATGTCCAGCCCCCTCCTTTTTCTAGAAATGTAGGTAGGTTTTGGTTCTGAGCAAAACTTGCTCATTAAGTATGTATATCTTGGACTTTACTCCTTTCTGTGGGAGGCAATTGAAGTCACCAACATTAGTCAGCTGCCCCTTAGTCAACTGCTGCGTTTCAGTAACTTGCCCGCTAAGCATGAACGTCAGCTTGCTGTGGCAGAACTTCAGGGGGCTGCGGAGTAAGAGTCAGGTTTGCGGTGTGGGAGGCGTAGGGCAGGGCCCGGGTGTGAGACCTGACACTTTCCCTGAAGAACCAGGAATGTCCCTTCATCACCTACTGTGAGTCAGCATGCTGGCTCGTTCTGGAAAGAAGCTGGACGGCAGGTCTCCGGAGTTTGCCAGTTGCTTGGTTGCTCACCGAGAGGTTGGCAGTTCAAACCCACCAGCTGCTTCATGGGAGAAAGATGAGGCAGTGAGCTTCCATAAAAACTTACAGCCTTGGAAACCCTCTGAGGCAGTTCTACATCTTACAGGGTGGCCATGAATTGGAATTGACTGGAAGGCAGTGGGTTGGTTTTCAACAGCTCCCTAAATCCTGAGCTTAGCAGAAGCCCTGGTGGCATTGTGGCTACACAATGGGCTGCTAACCACAGTGTCAGCAGTTCAAAACCACCAGCTGTACTTCGGGTTAAAGACGAGGCTTTCTCCTGCCATAAAGTTACCGTCTGAGAAACTCCCAGGAGCACTTCTACCCGGTCGTTGACTTGATGGCGGTGAGAAGTCCTGAGGCTACATCAGCGCCTTACCTCTGGATAAACATGACCCTGCCGGAGGCCTGAAGCTGAGTAGAAGTTGAGATCTATGGCAAATGGAACCTTGGGGGTGGGGGCTTGTAGGGAACCTCCCTGTGCTGAGAAAGGTCTGGGAGGCTGGGCAGTTCTTCTAGGTAAGAAAGAGGAAGCTAACAGACCCAAATAGGATCCTTGGCTCCTGCAGGGGTGTGTGTTCTAAGCCTTGAAAAGGCAGAGAGGCCCCAGGAAGCCAAGGGCCTATGGAGTGTGGATGTGGCCTCTATGGGTGCCCAGCCAAGGTAGTAGCCATTGGGTGACTCGGCACTTCTTCCTGGGGGTGGGGTGGGGTGTCTTTGGTCTCTCCCTGCTGAGTCTGCCCTTTCTGAGTCCGTCTTCCAGGACTTGCTGCCTTGTTCAGAGCCCCGAAGAAGCCGCCTTTCAGGCACGCACTCGGAAGGTGTCTGCTGGACGGAGCTCCAGAGAGCACCTGGCTCTACCTTGGCAGTTTAACATGGAGGTCGCCCAGCAGATCAGGAGGACCTGCAGCCCCGAGCTGACTCCCAGGCCTGGCTTTTGTCCTGGGTCCAGCCCGGCCTCAGAGGCTGTAATTCCTGGTTCCCTGAGCAGCTGTTGAGAGCCGCCCCCCCTCCCCCGTGTGCCTGATGGCAGGCTGAGGGTCCGGAATTCACAATCTTGCACGGAGGGAGGCTGGTTGGCAGTGGCGAGGGGGAGGAGGAGAGGCGAGGGAACAAGTGCGAAAGGGGTCAGGGATCACGTCAGACAAGGTGCACCCCAGAGGGGGAGAGCCACCTGTCTCAGAAGTGGGACGCTTGTCTTCTCAACGCAGCTGGAGGCTGCCGCTGTGTCTTCCGCGATCCCTTCCCCGGCGCTGGACTTCACTGGTGGTTTGAGAAACAAAATCCAAACCCCTTGGAGTCCATTCTGAGTCAAAATCTATAGCACCGAGTAGAAGTGCCCCTTCGGGTTCCCGAGCCGGTGAACCTATGGGAGCAGACAGCCTCATCTCCCCCGCTGGAGGTTGCTGGGGGCTGAAGCTGCTGGCCTTGTGGTCTAACCCATGGGGTCAAGCGGGTGTCCAACTGATCCTCAAAGGAGCGGATGACTCAGCTTCTCTGTTGAAGCAGACTCTGACTCAGTGTGAAGGTGGTGCCTCTTGACAGAGCTGAGGAGCAGCTGGTGGTTTCTAACCGCCGACCTTGCAGTTCGAAGCCTTGTGCGTAATCACTAAATCACTAAGCTCAGGGAAAGGCTCACAACAGGTACCGCAGCTGGCTGCCCTGGAAGTGCCTGTCGGAGGAAGTGGGGGACAACTGCACAGCAAGTTTTGTTTTGAAGGATGAGGGAAAGTCTGATGAGAAAGGAAATCACTCTGAAAGGAGGTGCAGTCTTGCAAAGGCCTGGGAGGCAGGGCAAAGGGGGAGTGGCAGGAGGTAAGGTGGGAAAACGAGGTCAAGGCCAGAGAGAGAGAGAGAGTGTGTGTCTGGGGGTGGTGGCAGCGATGGCAGGAAGGGCTGCTGATAGTAAGGCAGTCTGGCTGGCTGACGAACCTGAGGGTAAAACAGACACTGGAAACACGTGTGAGGTGGAGCCAGTGCTAACAAGGGGTGTCCCAGGGAACTGAAGGGTCTCCCCTGTCCAGCGACAGAGCAGGCTGGACACCACTGCTGAATCAAAGTGCAGGCGTAAAAGGGATGCGGGTCACCCATTTTGGTCGAATGGGTGAATGAAGGGGTACCCCTTTTCTTACTTTTAGGTCCTAAATCTGGACAGAACCTGACCGACCAAGCTGGTTGCACACCCAGGACTGAGAGCCACATGGAGCTGCGGGCCCCCTGCCAGGCTGCTGCGCCGGCAGCGAGGAGGAAGTTCTGTGTTCTCGTGGGTGCCACTGGGAGCGTGGCGGCCTTGAAGCTGCCCCATCTAGTGTCTGCCCTGCTGGGCATTCCTGGGGTGAGTATCCTCCACAGACTAGACCCAGGGACCTCTAGGACCAGCGCGCGCCCCCCCCCCCCCCCCCCCGGGGTGGTCAGCTCACGTCTGGTGCACTGGGTGGGCTGGAGGACACTGGCCACAGACCAGGGTCAAGAGGGACCAGACGGCGAGGGCAGCATGGGAAGGGTGGCAGCCAAGGACACATTGGTGAGGGAGGGTTTGGATTTCTGCACACTGACCCGAGACTCCCAGGGGCCCTTTGTGGGAGGAGGGCTGGCTGGACAATGCAGCCGGTTGTTAGCACTGCCCTGCTGCCCCAGGCTCCCCGGTGGCCACCAGAAAGCTCTGTCCTTGTTAGGCACCATGGCGTTGGGAATGCCGAGTTCTAATGTGACACGGGCCACCACAGCAGCCCCTGCCCTTAGCATGCCCGCTGCTCCCGTCAGTGTCGTATACGGAGCTCCGGGGGAGAAGGCTCCAAACTGTGAGGAAACCGGGGGTGGGGGGTGGGGGTGTCGGTCCACTTCCTAATGTGGCACCAAGGCCCCGGGTTGATCTGGCTTGGCCCCCGCTCAGGTCCCTGTCCTGCACCCTGATGGCCTTTGTTCGGCCCAGACCCCTGCAGGCTGCACGGCCCTCTCTGCCACTCCCGTTTGGCTCCCCTTATTTTAAATCCTTCATTTGTAATAGACACACACACACAGACAAATCCTTCATTTGTAATAGACACACACACACACACACACACACACCACACCTCCGCCCCCAGGTGGCCTTTGACACTCCCTGCATCATTAAACACTGGGTTTTGTTGGATATAAGTCTCGATGTACACCCACAAAACATATAAGTCTTGATGTACACTCACAAAACCAAATGCACTGCCACTGGCTCGAGCAACCCTGTAGGTCAGGGCAGAGCTGCCCCGGAGCTTTGTGAGATGGTAACTCTCCACAGGAGTGGGAAGCCTCGTCTTTCTCCCTAACAGTGACCTACAGGACAGAATAAATTGGCTCCATTGAGTTTCCAGGGCTGTCAATCTCCATGGAAACTGACTGCCAGGTCTTCCAACTGCCAACCCAGTGCCTCACCCTCAGTGCTGCCAGGGCTCCTGATCCAGGCACCCCAAACTGACTGCCATTGAATTGATTCCGACTCAGTGACCCTGTAGGACAGAGGAGACGTGCCCTTATGGGTTTCCGGGACGGAGTAGGAGCCCCGTCGTTCACCTCAGAGGGGCTGGTACTAACTGCTGACCTTGCAGTTAGCAGCCTAAGGTTAGGCACCAGGGCAGACACCCGGGCTCCTGTCTTCCCTCCAAGCTTGGAGTTTGTCAGGGCCAAACACCAGCCCTGGCAGGGTGCTGTGCCCCGTGTCCAGCAGGCGGCGCTGCTCGCCCACTGATGTGTGCGTTGGGGGCATTCGGTGAAGACCAGTTGTTGTTTTGGTTTGTTTTCACCAACTTCCATCCAGAAAAGTCCTCACTCCCCCAGCTCCCCAGGCTAGAATGCCAACCAGGCCAGTAGCGGGCAGGGAGGCAGTTTTTGGGCCCCTCTGAGGGTGGGCACTGTGCTGCAGGGTAATGCCTGCAGACAGCGCAGGAGGCCTGCAAGGGGTGGCAACAGTGAAGCCTTGGCCTTCCCCCCTGGGGTGCCGGGCAGCCCTGGGCCCTGTAGTTCCCGTTCCCATAGCCTCAGAGCAAGTGAGTTTCCGGTCTGGCCTGGGGGTGGTGGGGGCAGGGAGCCCTATCCCAGGAAACAGATGGGCAGCCTCAGAACTGAGGGAAGTGACTGCTCCTCCACTTGCTTCCTCCTCCCCGCCACCCCCATGCAGCCAGCACGCATGTGGTCCGAGTAAAAGGTCCCTGGCGCGGGGAGGTGTGCCAGCCCACCCCCTGCTTTCTGCCTGTGCCTGCAGAAGGGACAGAGTGCATGCCTGGACCCAGCTCCACTCTCCCTGCTCTGGCTGTGGTTGAAGCCCAAAGCCTGGCAGCCAGAGGCACTTCATGGAGGGAGGGGCTGCCGCTAGCTTCTCGCTTCACTAGCCTCTAGCCTCCCTGAGCGGCCTTTCCCATTCTAAGGCTGGGCTATTCCTGCCTCCCAGCCTCTCCTCTGGTCTGGCTCCAGGAGAGGATGGGCTGGATGAATCTGTTGGACTTCATATGCTAGCAGCTAGGAGCAGAGCTTAGTACAGACGAAGCACTCAGCCAGGTCTGCATCCTGCGCTCTCCCCCCACCCAGCCCCCCTCGCCTCCTCGGGCCCTCCATGGGGAGTGGGGTTGTTGGCAAGACGGCTCTGTGGGAAGAGCCCCAGGAACCATCTTCACATGTGGAGTGGTCCAGCTCCCTCCCTGTCACCCGCTGCTTCCCTAGAGAGCCTGGCTCTCTAGGGTCCAGGCAGGCCCTGGCTTGCCGGAGGTTGGTGGCCTGAAGCCCTTGAAGCCACTCCTCCACACTCCCCGATGGCTCCCCTTTCCATGGGCCCCCTTTAAGGGGTCACCTGCCAGAGCAGTCATTCTCAGCTCCTTGACTGCTCCCTTAGGCCTATCTAGATTTGACTGACAAACTAGCAGCTGGGAGTGGGCGGAGGAGGCCAGGCAGTTCTGCCTGCTGGCTCCCAGCTGGACCTGATTCACCGATGTCCAGACGCCCCTGGGGAGCCAAGACCTCTGGAATACATTACCGGAGCAGGGAGCCGGTGAAGGGGGCATAGAGAGAGGTGGGAGTAGCTTCAGGGCCTACACTCCAGCAATAGAGGAGGGACCATCAGCAAACAGGGCTCACCTGTGATGTGGAGTCGGGGGAGCGGCCAGCAGGGAGCAGCCTCCCCTGAACAGAGACACTGAGCTCCAGGACTTAGACACTGGGCACCTGGGCAGGCCGTTCCTTCTGACGCTCGCTCGTTGTTCTCTGTCACTGCAACGAAAGGGGTAGGACTCCTCTCACCCTTATCCAGGGGCTCTTTGACAGCGGGAGATTCTAGATGGGGTGAGGGTCAGGGGATAGGTTCTGGTGTCAGGGGAGCTTGGGGTATTTTTTTGCAGTTGTACAATTGTGAGGGAACTGAGTGGCTGTCACGTCTGAGCCATAAACATTTGCTGCCCCTTTGCCCGGTGCCCTTTCTGACTCGGGCAAAGAAGAGAGCCCCTGGCTTTGCCAGGACCGAGCGCCCGGATGGACGGGGTGCTCTGGAACAGGAGAACGGCTCTCCTGCAGGAGGCTGGCAGGCCTTGGGCTTGAGGAGGAGGAGTTTCTAGGATGCCCATCAGGACATCCAGGGTTGTCAGGGACCAGGGCAGGGTGCTTCAGCGCGTGAATGATAGCCACCCGGAGCTGGGTCAGAAAGGGAGGCTTTGGCTTCTGTTTGCACCCTTCTGTTGGGTGTTTGTGGCCCTGCCCTGTAGCTGTGAGTCATCCCTGGTGGTTCCTTGGTAGAGAGACATGGGCTCACTTCCTGCTCAGACACCTCACCCGCAGCCATAGCCTGTCACCTGTCCACCCGAGGAAGCTTGAGTGTTGCTCGGACCGCACAGGTTCCAGCGGAGCTTCCAGACTAAGATGGACTAGGGAAAACGCCCGGCCCTCTGCTTTCAAACATCAGCTGACGGAAGAACAATGCTGTGGTCACGACGCTCCAGTCCTGTGGTGCTGGGCTCCGGGCAGCACCACTACACCGGCCACCTCTCCAGAGACTTCCGCCCTGGCTTTCCGCAGGTCCCTGGGCCTTCCTTTTGGGTGGGAGGCAATGGCCTGCTTCTAGTGTGTGCGGTTCCTCGAAGGGCTCCCTGAGGAAGAAAGAGATGAGGAGCTGAGCTGGGCTGAGCATCTCCTCTCCCGCCCCCCCCCCCCCCCCCCCCCCCCCCCCCCCCCCCGGGGGGGCGGGCCACCTGTCTGCTCTGAGGCCCGCTGTGGAACCTGGACTGTGTGGAACCGACAGGACATGGAGGTATCTTTTAGTAGGCCCCTTCCTCCCGGGCCTCGTGGCTCCTCTACAGAGCGACACTGGGGAAGAGCGGTCCCTGCCCACCCAGAACCGCATTCCTGGCTGGCGTCTCTGCGGACTGCCTCTCTGGCCCCTGCCTGGAGAACGGTGTTGAGCTGAGGAAGCCTGGCACCCCCCCAGCCTCAGAGCAGGAGCTCAGGGGGTTCCTGAGAGCGCCCAGCCAGGCTGCTGTCCACCAGGGTCACCGGTGGACGCTCAGGACCAGGAGCTCGTCTGAGCGTTGGTCCTGTGTCTGCCAAGTGCTCCCACCGGTGCTCTGAAAGGGGCAGTGCAGGCCTTCCCCAGATTCCGTCTACAGCCCCTCCCCTGCCTCGCCAGCAGCCTGTTTCCAGGAGGGGGTGGTGGAGCTGATGCCTCTTCCGCAGAGAAAAGGAAACCTGAGGGGTGGGGGCTGTGAGGAAGACATCTTCGTATAATGGGGGCAGCTCATCTGAGGAGCCGGCCAGTCTCAGCCCCATTGCTCTGGAGCTACAGGGTACAAACTGCTCCTAGGGGCCCGGCCAGAGCTGCCAATCGCTCTGCTCCGGGGTCCTGCAGTGTGGGAGGCCCAGTTTTCAGGCAAACCAGCTTTTCTCTGGACTCCAAGACCAAAAAGCCAAACCCACTGTCCTCAGTGAGTTCCACGCCGTGACCCCGCAGGGCGAGGGGTTTCTGTTAGTCTCCTGGAGCAGACGGCTGCAGCTTGCTCCTGTGAGTGAATTTGAACCACTCAACCACTGTACCACCAGGCCCCTCAGAGGGGTCCTGCCCTCCAGGAGCTTCCTGCCCTGCCCGAGCTCCTGGGCATTTGCTGTACCAGGGTCCCCATGGTGAGTGGGTGCAAGGACCCTGGGCTCCCAGGACCTCTGAATAAAAACCTGAGAGAACAAAGGGCCCATGAATCAGGTCCAGAAACACTAGCCCGGGGCTCAGGGACACCCCAAGGAGAGGAGGTGTGTGGTCAGGGGAGGGACATCGGCCAGGCCTGCCCTTCACCTCACTCTGGGACCCGCAGTTCTTAACCTTTCTAACGCCAC